CGACTGTATCTGCCCATGTGCAACGGCGAGGGAAGTAGTCAGACCAAGTCGAGGCTGGATGAGGAAAAGAGATGTGCAAGGACTCTATCCAGACTGTGCCATCAGAAGGTTGTAGTGTTGGAAATAGTGGCATTTGGGTCTCCTGCTGGTATTGGATCGCTCTGATTCTGCTCTTCTGTTCCGCTTCCTGTGCGTTTGACTTTGCTATATATTAAACACGATCGCGTTTTTTTCTCCAACTTTGTGTAATCTACATGTTATTCTTCAAGACTTGCGGCTTTCGGAGTTGTTGGGGTAGGTCGGCGCGGTTGTTTTTGGGGTTATTGCTTGTACTGTTGCTTTCATATGGTCAACCTTGCAACGAAGACCATCGCGATCCTACGTTCATCTCCAACAATGTTTGTCTCTACTATGGAAGTATCGTACGAAATACCTGGCCTTTCACACTACGAAAAACATTGCCTTCATTCGACCGTTCCGAAGAAGCCTAGTTGTGGTAGTTTACTTTCACAATCCCTTCCCCTGAGATGCTAGCGCTATATACTTTTTTTGGTGCTTAGACTACCTGATTGTGGATGACGATAGAACACGGGTGGAGAAACTAATGGAGGGACACAAATAGGTTAATTCCCATACTACATTGAATTGTATCGAGTGCTAGCTGTCCGACTATGTGATCACACACTAAACAGGCTAACGATCATTAGTAACTTATTACCTCCACTTTGCTCCACTTTGGCCAAAACAGCGGAAATGATAAAGAATCACTTCACTGGCTATATGCCACCTTCGACATCCATCCATCACCCCTCACGTCTCATCCTTTCCAACGCCCGTGAAACATGAAATAAACTATACTCCTCCATCCGTGGTCGATACACCAAGCGCCTTGCCCGCTGCACTGCACCCATACTCGGAACCCACTGTCTCCTCGGTAACCCAGCCCGTTCGCGCGCCAGGTCTCGAAGCCCTTCAAGCAGTCCGCCTTCCTGTGTTTCTGTCTGCGCCTGTACTGTCTGTGCTTGACGCCTGGGCTGGCGCGATCTTGGGAGACTGGGCTGGCGCATGGGAGGAGCAGGTGGCGCACAGTCAGCGTCGATGTTCAATGCGTTTAATTCCTGTAAACCAGCGAGAAGACTATCGTCTAGTGGTCCTGGATCGCGGTGCACTTGTGAGACCTGTGGCGGCGCAGACACATCTGAAAAGTATGATTGGTTCGGATTCGCACTCGGCACGTTGTAGTACCCCGGCGGCGTGCGTGTGTCGTGTCGCTGCAGTGTGTTGAGCTCCTGCAGGCCGAATAGCAGATCGTGTTGGTGGTCCGGCTCGGATTCGGGCGTGGGACTGGCACTGCGGGTCGGCGGGCGGACTGGCAGCGGTGGACGTGTGCTCGCAAGTTCCTGCAGGCCTAGGAGGAGATCGGCAGGGTCTGGCTGCGGGAGAGGACGGTGGGTCGGAGGTGTTTTCTGGCGTACTGGCTGGAGTGGTACGGAGCTGGCGGTTGAGACTGGTGTGGCCGAATAGGACTGTGATGATGCTGATGGCGCCGGAAGGTCCAGGCGGTTGAGTTCTTGCAAACCGTGAAGGAGGGTTGAATCCGGATGTCCACCCCGAACGGAACTGTCACTATCATTCCGATGTCTCCGAATATGCCGGCTGTAATTAACGACGGGTGTCGTCTGCTGCCTGAGACTCCGCTCAGAATTCTCATACCCCCCGCGATCGGACCGGGCAACATCGTCTCGAATTTGTCGAGGCCCCGACGATCTCTGGCCTCTGTGAATGATCTCTGGATTTTCCGGCCTGCCACGATAGACCTCCGTGATAGAAGGTGACGGTAAATGGCTTTCTGACGACGACAGGGGAAGGCGCAGTCGATTCAGTTCTTGCCGTCCGAGAAGGAGCGATGGATCCTCATGCCCGCCACGAGCGAACCTGGGAATATTATCCCGGTGGCTTCGAGGCCCCGACGACCTCTGTCCGCTGTGAAGAACCCCCGCATCTTCCGGCCTGTCATGCCTGGCACTATCGTTCCGGATCATCGTGGCAGAATGTGACGGTGACCGACCTTCCGACGGCAGCAGAAGACGTAGCCGGTTCAACTCCTGCCTCCCATGAAGAAGCCTTGACTGCATATTCTGACCATTATTCGACCTGTCAATATCATCTTGGTGTTTCCTAATACGTCGGCTATCACGAATTGGCGTTCTTTGCTGCCTGAGACTTGGGTCCAAATCCTCATACCGGCCATCGGAGTGATCATCCCGGACTTTCGTAGCAGAACTTGCCTGTGACCGTCCACCCGAAGACGACGACAAGGGAAGGCGTAGGCGGTTTAGTTCCTGTAGCCCAAGGAGAAGTGAGGAGTCGTTTCCGTCAAGATCAGAACTGCAACTCTCATTCCAGTGTTCCCGTCCCCGCCGTCCATCAACGACCGAGATCCTCTGCAGCCCGCGACCCACTTCACCCTCACCGTTATACGGATCCTTATATCCACCACCACCATCATCATCATCATCATCCCACTCATTCCTCATCCGCCCCGTCCCCCCAGCTGCAATATCGGCCTCCCGCGCCTCCTCCGCTCTCAGCACCATCATCTCCAGCCGCTGCACCTGCAGCAGCTGCTGCGAGGGCGTGGTTCGCGGCTGCGGATGATGCAGCACCGACAGAGTGTTGTAGGACTGAAACGGTAGATGGCGCGGATCGACGTTGCGGAGCGCAGCGAGCATTTCGGGGCGCTTGGGAACGCTCTGGTGCTGGCGCTGGTCTGGACGCGGAGGAGAGAATGTAGGAGGACGGGCCGACGCGGAGGGTTGGTCGTATTGGCGGCGTTGGCGGTGGCGGTGCTGGAGGACGCGGAGGGGGGCGTCGTCGTCGGAGAGGCCGGGGTCGGCGGGAGTGATTTTGAGCATTGGATTGAAGCAGGATGGTCGTGGTCGATTGTTAGTGGTACTGTGTTGAAGTGTTGATATGATGGTGGGACTTGGGCTGTCACTCGCAGGCTTCATTGAATGACGGTGTCACGAAGTGTGGCCAAGCACGGGCTTTCGTGACTCGTGAGTAGTGGGGGTCGTGAGGGGATCGTTCTTTTGCAGGATGACTTAGAATTCACCTATATTCCAGTGCACGACTACAGAACTTCCAGTGCACGACTACAGAACAGACTTTGAGAACAGTGTAATGGCATGTCATTTTATGGATCTAATTAACGCCTTTGCAAGTGCCACCACAAGGCAAGTACCTACCAGACCCAATCCCAGGAGCCATCAAGACCCAAAACCCTTCTTTCCCTTGTCATCCGCCTTCTCTTCCTTCGGTAAACTCCCTCCCATCATATTAGCTGGCTTCCCATCCCTTGGAATGCTCCAATATCGCGTTTTCCCATTGATTCCCCATACCCCCGGTCTTCTCGGATTATATGTATGCGTCAACGGCATGCTCGGTACGTCACCTAATTCATGGATCTTCGCGTCAATGCGGAGGCGCTGGCAGTACGATCCGTCGGGCACGGCCTGTGCCAGGACCTGGGCGGTGATGGTGGGGGGTCTGATAGTGCTGTCGGAGTCGGTAGAGGAGGTGACAGAGGGTTTAGAGGAGCGAGGAGGGCTAGAGGATGAGAAGGAAATTGTTCTCATGGTTTCTGAGGGGTTGGATTCGGCGCCGCTGGTGCCAGGAAGGCGGAAGTAGCTGCTGATCCGGGTCTTGAGGGTTGGACGTCCAAGGCTGCCGTTGGGGTTGGCTTTGGCATTGGCATCGGCGTTGAGGTTGGGTTTGACGCTCTGGGGAGGGGTCGGAGGGTCGTCCATTGTGGTCGACTTGGCGGTTTGGGTGAGAGATGGATTTCGAGTGGGAAATTTTGACCAGCCCATTGAGTCTTGATGTGGTGTTTATCGTCGCCGAGACGTTCCGAGTTATAGGTTCTTGTTTGTCGATGCTGCGTACTGGGAAGTATTCGTTCAAATCCACTAGTTTTGGGCCTGTTGGCCTGGATGGGCCTCGAAGCAGGCTGGAATTTAGGGGCTGGAGATGTACATCACCAGCCTTGATGCCACTGCACGCGATGTCATTCGGTTTGGGCTCATTTATAAACTCACATTCTATGTTTGCCGCTTCAATAGGTCGCCAACTTGCAGAAAGCTCAGAGTGGGACGTCTAGTCGCCGTTTCATCCGTGAAAGCCATGCCCAGAAAGCTAACATGCTGCATCTGCCCCATTATCGCAACAATTGAATCATAGCGGATGGATAAAGCGCGGAATGTGATGATTTTAATGCATCCAGAGAGTTTACACAAATTAACCCAGAGAGTGCAAAGCTGAGAACAGAGTGGGTTCTGGCCAGGTTAGGGTTACTTCGTGTAGACTCTTCGCTCTATTTGTACTTAATTTGATACTTGTTCATGTGTATAATCTAAGTTCTATCAATCGTACTTAAACTCCATGGGCTACCTGGTTTGCCAGTTCGAGTGGGTTAAATGGCCCACTATAGAATAGTAATCCAAACGCCGAGTGATATACAGCGTGTCAACAACAACTCTGACAATGTCTTCCACTGGCCGACTTCGTGAATTCTTTATTGATCCAGCTCGAGCACGGGCTGGAGTTTTCATACTTTTACTTTTACCGTTGGATTCCGCATATTAGTCCTGTAGCCTACTTTGCGTGCAAGTTTCAACATCTCGGGTAGATAAGGTACGTTCATGACCCCCGAGAGTGGTAAAATATTCTCCCCATCAACCTCACCGCCCAACATACAAAATGTCACGTTACATATTACACGCAGATATCAAAAGACACACCCGGAGTACTCGTTTGAAAATATCGTCGTACTGCTGCGCGTCTCCACAATATTGTAACATTCCAATAAATTGCAGCCAGAATTCATCAGCTTGGTTTTGGTCAGAGCCAACTTCCGTCAAAACGGAGAAATTTCTTTGTCGCCCGCTCTGGACTGGTCACAATCCACAAGGAATGTGGCTTTGAAAAGTAAAAAGAAGATGTTCCGCCACCGGGAATTGAACCCGGGTCTAGTCGGCACTCAGTATGAAAGCGACCAATGCTAGCCACTACACCATAGCGGATCTTTTATTTTGTTTACCCAAATACGAATATATTCAGAATTCGGATATAGTTGGTGCGTCCAGTCAACACGGTGGCCCCTAGCACCGTCCGGCATATCTGGGATAGGGGGATACATGGTATTGTGAAGATAAGGTGGATGGCAGGGAAGCATGGCGATTATGAGGACCGGAATAGTGTTTCTGAATCTCCAGGGCATATTTACCGTTGGAAAAGTTGCGCAATACGCGTTGAGATAGTTCTCAAGATGACACTTTACCAGCCTAACCGGGTATAAAAACTTCATGATAAACGGGGTACGAGAAAACTAGTTCTTGATAAATAGTATTCACTCAGTTTAAATATACAAAACTATGCCTATATGAATAACACACCAACCTGTCTTACCATCTCACACCAAAGGCATCCGCTATCCCTCTTCGTCCGCCTCATCATCAGGACTACTCGCAAAATCGGCAGTGTCAATTTTCTTCTTAAAGCTTTCCCCAAGCCCAGTTTCTTGCACCAACTTCTTGTACACCGTATCGGAAGCCCTCTTTGCCGCGTTGATATACAGCTCCGTGATCAATATATTATCTAAAATGTTCTCAAACTTCAGAAAAGGCATGCGCGAGAACGGATAAAAGTGGATCTTCTGCTCAGGGCTTCCCCTCAGCACTGCCGACGGGTCGTCGAGCTTGAACACGTGCTCTGTGGCAAACACAATGCACGGCACTTTAGTGGACAAGTTTATCTCGTTTTGCTCTAGAGCGTGCACGTTGCCGATGCCGTAAGATGCCAGGCGATTGTTTTGCTGGTCGTGATTCTTATACACGGAAAGCTTAGCGGTAACAGGCGCAATAGTTTTCGGGGCCTTATTGGGGTTTTTGGCCAACTGGATAGCTCTTTCAAGATGCAGGATCAGTTGCCATGCTTGTTCGTATCTAGTGGAGTTTCGGCATGGTTAGAACGCAAATAGCCCACTTGCACAGAAATCGCAGCACAACTTACCGTACCATCATGGAATTTGTCTCGGAGGTACCGATCATCAGATTCTCCGCGATTTGGCCAGTCTTGCCGTCTGGCTCGTGACCATACAGCCCACCAAATCCATGAGCGACTAGATGGAGCCACTGGTAAACATTAGCATAGAAGGTCCGCACAAGGGACGGGTTATGGGCACTCACTTCGGCAATATAAAAGCCACTGCCCATCTTCAGAATCACTTCCTTGTCAACATTGTTTACACCTACCACTTTGACATCCCCGTTCTCGTCCACCTCCACATTGTTCTCGCCTTTCCACTTCAGATGTTTGTAGGCAAACTGGGGCCTTGGAATTAGAGATCAAGGCTATTTGTGGACAATGCTTCACGTACCGTGGGCGCAGAGATTCCCATGATTGCTGCCTGGTCTACAAAACGGTTCGGAATAGCCATTGTGCCCAGGATATTGCCCATCCACTTGGGCGGCGGGCCGAGCTTGCTCGATGAGAGCTCCGCTACAATGGCGGTTTTCTGATCGACATTCTGCTGTGCATATCTCGAGATTAATCGAGCATCGGAGGACGCCTTTGCCGCAAGTTGCGCATTGGTAGTACCGGATCTGCCAGATGGGCGAGTGGTAGCCTTCAGCCAGTCATCAAGCGTTCCGTCGTTGTAGTTCGGTAATCCACGCTGCGGAAACGTGGTAACATGTCTGTCAAAAGAATAACTATTTTTTGCGATCCACGTTGTGTATAGGCCGAAAGGGTTTTCGGAAAGCTAGCAGAGATGTATGATTAGCAGGGGGACGGCATTTGAACTAATGATGTTTTTTATTTCGCTCACCTTGATCCATTCACCTTGTAAAACCTGATTGTGAAAATTGTCGCGGTCCTTAACATAATACACTTTGGTCTTGTATTGAGCTTTTTTTTTATTCGCAGTGTTCAGCTTTTCGATGATTCCACCCAGAAGTTCTTGTGCCTGTATGAGGTCTTGGCTTTCAACCAAAATATCTGTATGCGTGCTGCTAACGATAGCGATGTCATATTCAAAGTCGACATAGCGGCATGGTTTTCCTCCACTCTGGCTAGCTTTCGCCTGTTCCTGGAGACCGTTCCATAGTTCCCGAATGTGGTTGGGTAGTCTGGTTGACTGAAACTTCGCTGGTGGTTGAGTATCGAAAAGGAACCACAGCGGTTTGCCGTCGGCTAGGCGGACGGGGATTCTCCCGGTGACGATAGAGGTCAGCCATTTCTTAAAGAATACTACCTTCTCAACCGAAAGAGACTTAATATCATTCAGATGTTGACCGCCATCAGAAATTTGGTTGTATGGAAATGCTGCTGCTTGCACCGCTAGCAGTGTGTGTCCTGCGGGGTGACAATTTGGACAAAGCGTATCATCGCAGCCGTCGAATGCGTAATAACCTTGAATCAGAGCGAACAGAAATCGATATGGAATGTAAATTGAACCGTTCAAATCCAAAGTCGTGGGCCCATAGGGTGTAGTATTTCTCAAGCTGACTTTCAAGAACGGCGTATCGTGCAGGTAGGCGCCGAGGACGCAACAATTCGCCACAGGAGACGCGTTCGACAAAGTGTAAGTCTCCGTATATGCGGAAACTACTGGCTTATATATTTTCCAGAGTCCATCTTGGGATTTCGTAGTCATGCCTTTTTTATCCATTTCTTTTTTGCCTTCGATCTCCATGCGTTTTTTCAAGCCTGTTTTGTGAAGAATAAATTTTTCAGAAGTGCCCGAGTGACATGGAACGTAAGAGATTTGATGATGTATCAGTGTGAGGTAAAGAGTTGATGACTTTTCCCGGATTTTAGACCTTTATAACATGTTGATAGGTATACTGCCGTGCTGTGTATGTGTGATGAGAATTCTCAGCTGAAGTTCTGCTGGCATAGTCCATACTCAGCTATCGAGTGCCCGAACTTCAGTTTAGAATTTCGGTACTTCAATTGCACGTTCGCTGCAGAAATTTAGACGCTGTGGCTGTCGACGGCGAAGCCGGTCTCGCTTAGAAATCTCCTACATAACTTGAAGCTCAAGACAATTCTAGACGGATCGGAGACCCGTATGCCGTGCTTCCGTTGCAGCGCGAGTTTGAGCTGAAGTCAGCTCTTTACTGGATGTATTGTGGCTTGCATTGTGCTAAACTGTCTGTAGGCGACAAGATAGTAAATTGTAGACCAACACCAGCTGAGTGGCGTTTTGACGTTGTACCAGAGCTAGGATGTGAAGGTTGCAATTTAGGGCTGAGGGTTGTGGGTTTGCCCTGATAAAAACAACAGCTGGAAAAATCACTCAGGTACACCCAGTTTTTTGCAGTGGTAGGGTATCAATATTTACTTTTTTGATATCTTGAGAAGAGCCGTGGACTGATACGTTAATCCCTCAGGTCTCGTGCCTAGAAAATGTTTGTTATATTGCGTACCTGGCGGTGGAGGAATGACAAATTAATTTTACCTTCCAGGGTCGAAGATACCAGGATTGATTTCTCAGCTCATTGTGTGATTTTTAATGTTGAATTCTGCAATCCTGTTTCATAGATGGTTCGATTTTTTTCATGTGGCTCGGGTCTCCTGGTGTCTCCTGGCCCATATTTCTGCTCTTCTCTTACAGTTATACGTTTAACATCATATATTTCAACACAGCTGGTACTAGTACCGTGCACCAAATGAAGCTTTACACCCTGTGTATCGTGTCGCATTGAACTGACTGTCTGTCATGTCTAGTAGCACGGCCGGTAGTTATGTAACTAGTCCGTTTCGTTTCGACCGGTGAATCTAGATGTAGGCAAAAAAACAAAGTAGCCAGGCCGCGGTTGCAGGCCAAAGTCAGCTCTCTCATGCATTGCGGCTTGAATTTTGGATGTTTCTAGCCCGTCTTAAGAGACGGCGATAGTGAATCAAAGATACAGAACCAGCTGAGTGACGTTTTGTGTAAGGTTGCACCAGAGCTGGATATACTTAGATGTTGGATACTTGCCCGTCCGGTGCCCGCTTGACTGACTCTTGGTTGGAAACAAATTCGGTACTTCACGAGTCACTAGAGAGGGCACAGTAGCCAATGGATTTATTCTAAAGTTGTCCTCCAGCCAATGGGTTTTTATCCGTCAAGGTTTACTGTGGTCAGTCGGTAGTTTAAATGCCGTTCGGTAGGTATTCTTAAGCAGAACTAGCATTCACAGAAGGTTTGCTGGACTAGATTTTGACCAATTTTATGGCGTAGACACAAAGATGTTAGAGCACGTAGTATTGTGATGCTGATAAAGTGTTTGTGATTGACAAAGTCGGTCGAAGAGGTGATGAACCATGAACGAATGATCGTGTTCGGTGTAAAGTAGTGCGGAAACGAAAGAGAAGAGCAGAGTAGGTGCAGCTAGATTACAGGAAATTTGAGACGTTACACGACCGAAATCGAATGATAGCGAGTGCAGGATTGACAATTCCAAATCGATTTAGCATGGATTGTCACTCGATATACGCATTGGCAAAACTGGTCAACTTCTCATATTCTTCTGCTTCCCCTCTTTCTCTTCCATTACCTTCTCATCTACCTTCTCATCTACCCTGTACTTGTCCCTTATCTCATCGTGATCATCAGACCCTCATCATCTGGTTGATTCTTCCGCACCGAAGCACACTGGCACTTAAGAATCTGTTACTATCTTGACACAGGGTTCTAAAATTCAGGAAAACCGAATGGCTCTGCTGCTGCTTTGCGCTTCGTGCGTGTTAGGCAGAATAATTACTTATGTGAAGAATACCAGTTAATACTCTCTTTTACGGCTAATTCTGACGTGACAGTAGACGGTACAACTCTAGAACATTGTTCTCGCTACATCGGCGTTGCCTACTCGGATCTAAGCCAAAGAGACAGTCATTAGATTTCGCTTAATGAAGAGAACTTTGAGTCGAGAGTTGAGCGGCCTGCTACACCCACACAGTCTTTCTCAAATTGCAAGAACAATACTCATTAAGAGCACATGGCTACTACATCAAATGGTTGCCTACTGGTATACTC